CCTTCTGTCGGGTCTAGTTTTTCTTTGGTCGGGTTTAGTTGTCCATTGGTCGGGTCAAGTTTTTCCTTTGGTCGGGTCTAGTTTTTCCTTTGGTCGGGTCTAGTTGTTCTTTGGTCGGGTGTAGATTTTCCACTGGCCGGGTTTAGTTTTCCCGTGGTCGGGTTTAGTTTCCTTTTGTTCGGGTCTAGTTGTCCTGGGGTCGGGTCTAGTTTTTCCTTTTGGTCGGGTTTAGTTTTCTTTGGTCGGGCATGGTTTTTCCTTGGTCGGGTCTAGTTCCCCCCTGGTCGGGTTCAGTCTTTCCTTTGGTCGGGTATAGTTTTTCTTTGGTCGTGTATATATATATATATATATATATATATATATATATTCCATTTGTCGGGTCTAGTTCTCCTGTGGTCGTGTCTAGTTTTTCTTGTGGTCGGGCGCAGTTTTTTCTCTGGTCGGGTTTAGTGTTTCCCCTTGTCGGGTCTGGTTTTCCCGTGGTCGGGCTTAGTTTTTCCTTTGGTAGGGTGTGTTGTTTTCTTTGGTCGGGTCTAGTTTTTCCGTGGTCGGGTCTAGTTATACTTTAGCCCGTTCTAGTTGTTCTCTTGGTTGTGTCCAGTTTTTATTTGGTCGGGTAGAGTTCTCCTCTGGTCGGGTCTAGTTCCCCCCTGGTAGGGTTTAGTTATTCCTTTGGTCGGGTCTAGTTTTTTTCTTTGGTCGGGTTTAGTTTTCCTCTGGTCGGGCCTAGTGTTCCCCTGGTCGGGTCTAGTTTTTCCTTTGGTCGGGTCTAGTTGTCCTCTGGTCGGGTCTAGTTTTCCTTTGGTCGGGTTTAGTTTTCCCTTTGGTCGGTTCTAGTCTCCCCTTTGGTCGGTTGTAGTTTCTCCTTGGTCGGGTTTAGTTTTTTCTTCTGGTCGGGTGTAGTTTTTCTTCTGGTCGGATCTGCTTTTTCTTTGGTCGGGTATAGTTTCCCTCTGGTCGGGTCTCGTTTGCCCTTGGTCTGGTTTAGATTTTTCCTTGGTCGGGTTTAGTTTTTCCATGGTCGGGGTCAGTTCTCTTTTGGTCGGGTCTAGTTTTTCCTTTGGTCTGGTTTAGATGTTCCTCTGGTCGGGTCTAGTTTCTCTTTGGTCGGGTCTAGTTCCCCCCTGGTCGTGTTTAGTTTTACCTTTGGTCGGGTCTAGTTTTTTCCGTGGCTGGGTTTAGTTTTCCACTGGTCTGGTTCAGTTTTCCCTTGGTCGGGTCCAGGTTTTCTTTTGGTCGGGTTTAGTTTTTCTTTGGTCGGCTTTAGTTCTCTTTTGGTCGGGTCTAGTTGTCCGTTGACCGGGTCTAGTTTTTCTTTGGTCGGGTTTAGTTTTTCTTTGGCCGGGTCAAGTTTTCCATTGGTCGGGAGTTTTTTATCGCTTTGGTCGGGTTTCGTTTTTCTCTTGTCGGGTCTAGTTGTTTCTTGGTCGGGCCCAGGTCCCCCTTGGTCGGGTCTCATTTTTCCTTTGGTCGGGTCTAGTGTTTCGTTGCTCGGGTCTAGTTCTCCCTCGGTCGGGGTTAGTTTTCCTTTGGTCGGGTCTAGTTGTTCCATGGGTCGGGTCTAGTTTTTCTCTGGTCGGGTGTAGTTTTCCCCTGGCCGGTTAGTTTTCCTGTGGTCGGGTGTAGTTGTTGCTCTGGTCGGGTTTAGTTTTTCGTCTGGTCGGGTCTAGTTTTCCTTTGGTCGGGTTTAGTTTTTGCCTTTGGTGGGGTCTAGTTTTTCCCGGCCGGGGCTAGTTTTTATTCCCCCCCCCCCCCCCCCCGATGGTCGGGTTTAGTTGCCTTGGTCGGGTTTAATGTTCCCCTGGTCGGGCTTAGTTGTTTCCTGGTCGGGTCTAAGTGTTTTTTTTCCCTTGGTCGGGTTTCGTTTGTCCGATGGTCGGGTTTAATGTTTCCCTGGTCGCGTTTTTTTTTGTTCCCCCCCCCCTCTTCTTCTTCGTCTTATTCCTCTTCCTTTGGTCGGGTCTAGTTTCTCCTTGGTCGGGTTTAGTTTTCTCCTGGTCGTGTTTAGTTCTCCCCTGGTCTTGTTTAGTTGTCCCGTGGTCGTGCTTAATTTTCCTGTTGTCGCGTTCAGTTTCCTCTGGTCGCGTTTAGTTTTCTCCGCGGTCGCGTTGAGGTTCCCCTGGTCGCGTCTAGTTGTTCCCTGGTCGTTTCTTTCTCTGGTCGCGTTTCGTTTTCCTTTGGTTGTGTTTCGTTTTCTCCTGGTCGTGCCCAGGTTTCCCCTGGTCGCGGGGAGGAGGGCGAGTGCGCCGCCGCTCCAGGTCGCCACCTGGGCCGTCGTCGTCGTCGTCGTCGTCGTCGTCGCCCCTTTCGGCGTTGTCGCCCCCCCCATCCTGTCCCCCCCCCCCCCCCCCCCCCCCCCTCGCGACCAGAGAAAAAACTAAGCGCGACCAGGGGGGAACTAAACGCGACCAGGGGAAAACTAAACGCGACCAGGGTCGCGTTTAGTTTTCTCATTGTCGTTGTCGTCATAAGCATCGACGTCATTGGCGCCGGGATGAACCGCTTTAGAGAGAAGCCATAAGAAACAATAACACTCCGAAAATCCATTAGGACCTCGCCACAGCTGTCCGTCACATTTCGGCTCGAGCCCGCAGCTACTCAGTGCTCCTCGCTTCGCCACTAGCGCATTCATGTCGCCCCATTCCGCCGCGCGCGAAGCCGCCGCCTCTGGCGCGTCGCGCGCCGCGCGGTCTCCATGGCGGCGCAATGGCCGAACTTCGAGACCGCGCGCGTCCAAGCGGTCGAAGCTTACCTGCTGGGGCAACGCGTCAGCTACAAGAAGATCACTTGGCACGCCGCGCTGGATAACCACGCCTCGACGCGCCCTCAAGTGCGCGGAGGCGCATTGGTCCCAGCCGTCAGCAAGTGCAAGGAATGCGCTGCCTCTGGGGCGGGCTGGCGGTGCACCTTGACTTTGCCGAACAGCTCTGCGCCGGGAGATGGCCGTCGGCTCGTTGCGATAGGGGAAAGCGCGACGAAAGAGAAAGCGTCGGAACTCGCTTGCCTCCGAGCCGTCGCTTCGCTCGTCAGCGAAAACCCAGGCCAGTTTGTGCTCCGACCGAAGCACTGGAAGGTGCCGCCCGACTAGCTCGTGGCCAACATGGCCGGCGCCGCCGCTGGCCCTGCCTCTGGCGGGCGCGCGCTGCCAGCGCGCGCCCCTGCGCGCCTCCAGGGTGCGGGCTCGGAGGCTAACGCTCCTGACGCTGACGCGCGCTGGGTTGAACTAGTCCGCGACGTTCTCAAAACGCACGGCGGCGAGTTCGATCCGTCGCGGATTTCCCGCGACAAGTTGCGGTGGCGCGACGAGCGCGCGTTCGAGACGTTCAACGAGCTATTGGCGCCTGGGGGGCTGAAGGACTTCCTCGACAGACACTCCGACGAATTCGCCTGGCGCGAGAAGGCCGACGACAAAGGCGTGCTCATCGCGTGCGCGAGCCGGGCGCGGCAGGGGGGGCGCGCCCCGCCATGGGAGCGCCCCGCCATCGGCGAAGTGGGCGCAGGCGCTGCCTCTGGCGCGCCCCGCCGCGGCGAGCGCGCCACAACGCGAAGTGGCCTCGGGGGGCGGCCTGGGGCGGCCGAAGGGCGCCCGCCAACGGACCGCCCTCAGGAAGCGGCCTCAGGACGCGGCCAGGATGCGCAGCCTCTGGCGCGCCCCGACAATTTACCGCCCCTAGGAAGCGGGCAGGATAAGAGCAACCCTTGGGAAGACCTTCACTAGGAGATGGTTGCCCGAGACACTGCCTCTGGCGTGGCCGAGTCGCTGCCCCTGGCGCGCCCGTGACGCTGCCGCTGGCGCGCCTTCTGAGGCCCAGGCGGCGGCGCGGCAGCTGGCGCCGCGACGCTTGCGGGCGGGAAAAACTCGTCGTCGTCATCACCGCCGTCGTAGTCGCCATCATGACCACCGACATCATCAGCGCAATCAGCGACACCATGACCACCGACAGCATGACCATCGTCGTCATGACCGCCGTCATCATGACCACCGGCATCATGACCTTCATCATCATGACCACCGACATCAATGGCATCATCAGCGCCACCGTCATCATCATCCTTACCATCATCACGCCAAAGTCGCATCATATCAGCGCTGCGGATCCTTTATATGATGTTCGACCCCTTGGTGGCCCAGCCAGTCGACCCCCTCCACCCGCCCCTGGATGATTGCCGTCGTCGGCCCGGAAGAAAGAACAGGCTTCAGACGCATCCGCGCGCGCGACGACTACGAGCGACAAACCACGAGCGGCGACGACGACGACTTTGATGACGACGACGACGACGACTGCGGACCAGACTCCGATGCGGATTCCAACGCGGACACGTACGCGGATCCCAATGCGCACGGCGGCAGAACCCCGAGCGCACTGGGGGAGGGAGCGTTACGTCAAAGGGGGGGGGGGGGGAGCGAAGGCCATGACGCCGGTCATGCCCCAAGCAATACAGAAACGGGTTCGTATCGATCTCACTATTCATACCGCTCAGCCGTCGACCTCACCACCGATGTCGTCGAACCGTCCACTGCTTGGGGTTCTTCTCTGGTGTAATATGTTGGAACAAACTCAATAGTTAACATGCTGAATTTAGACGGCTACTTGGAATCCAAGTGTAAGTCCAATGGCTTATGCGCATTAGCTGATTGTATATGACATGTATTTTGGTTTTTGCATCGGCCGAGCGTCTGGGCAGGGACGATCCAAGCACCCCCGGAGCGTTGTCGGCGAGGCGCAGCTGTTGAAGAGCACCCCGAGGCCGGAAAACCGCCGGGAACCGACGTAAACGCCCGAAAACCGGGAGCCTCTAAGCCGAAGGTCCCTCTTTTTCAGGAGGGAAAACAACACAATGACACAATTAATCGTCGATTCCATAGAAAGTATTGGAAAATATGGGAAGTGGGGGGAACAACAAAAACTAGGAAATTGTGGGGATCCTTTTTTAATATGTGTGTATTTGTTTGTGTGTCCCAGGGCCCTTCACTTTTGCTGCGCCCCGCCCTTGCCCAGGTGCAGTTCCGACCCGTGCGGGGAGGCGGACGCCGAGAAGTGCTGCGTGCGCCGCCCAGCGCCCGCCGCCGAAGGGGGGGGAGGGGAACAGCCCAGAGGAGCGGCCTGCCGCTCCTCGGGCTCCCCTTGCCCCCGTCGTCGTCGTCACCAATACCCGGGGGTACTGGTGACGACGACGACGACGAGGAAGAGGAGGAGGAGGAGGAGGAGGAGGAGGAGGAGGAAGAGGAGGAGGAGGAGGAGGAGGAGGAGGAAAACCACGAGGAGGAGGGGGAGGAGGACGAGGAGAAGGACGACAACGACGACGGATGATCGGGGTAATCACACAGTGATGGATCCTCGCCCCTTGGGGGAACAATCGATAAGATGAACCTGATAGTTCGGAGGTCCGCGCGGATTCCTCGGATCGGCGGTGGGCCCCCCCCCCCCCGGCGGCGCCTTCGGCCCCGCCCCTCGCGTGCTGCGCGCACCAAGGAGGAAGGCCCAGCTGGAAGTTCGTGTTTCTGTTATTGCTTGTTCCCCTGCCCACTGCACCCACACCCCTCTTGCTTTTCTCGCGCGTCTCTCTTGGTTTGCTGTTTCTTGTCGCTCCTCTCACCAATCGGGCGTGTGCCCGCGAGCGGGCGGCACACCACGGTGGACAGATGAGATACGGAGCCCCAGTGCGCCCGCAGTGGAAACAATCACTCCTCCTCCCCCGTTTCGCTGCGATCTCATCTCGGCACGATGCACTCAGGCGGGTCCGACCCCATGCCTTCGCCTCGCTCCTCTCATTTCCCACTTCTCCAGCTTCACCCCTCGTCCGCCTTTGGTTCCGTCCCCTTTCTGATTTCTCCTCATCTTCCTTGAAAGAGAGATCCAACGCTGTCATGCAGACTTCGCAAGCTTTGGGCTGGCAGGCAGGAGTTTCGCCGAGAGCCTCATCGCAAGGCTTTCCCGCGTGTGGTCCGAGCGGGGGACCGCGAAGAGAACAGGGAACATCAAATATGGCCACGGACCCTGGAACGGACTGGACTCGACTGACATTGGCCCACATGTCCCCGTTGATCACCCGAGGTAGACGCCGCCAGCTGCGACGACCTCAGGTCCAGCTGCCCCTCGGGCAAATCCTTGGTGTACCGCTCCAAGGAGGTGCTCTGCGTGAAGGCCCGCTCTTTTGAAACGCTGGGATTTCAGTACCAGGAAGCTGGATACACGTGACGCACCTGGCGCGAGAGTTGGATGCACATGTTGCCAGATGTGTTTTCAGCGCTCGGCCCTTCTATGGCCAGGTGCGCTGGGCTTCCGCATGTGTATATCCAGCGCGTGGTTGTCGGATGCCCCACATGTGAACTCATCCATGTGCGTGCTTTGGCTTCCTGGTGCCTCCAATCCCCGCTTCTTGCTCTTCGGTCCCCTCTCCAGCGCCCGCTGTTGCTCCTGGCGGTGGCTGCCGCGTGGCTGAGACATGGCTGTGCTGCATACGTCTGCGCGCTGCGAGTAGCTCTGACGCAGAGCGTAGAGAGAGTGCAGTTGGGATGCAGTATTGCGGCGGTTGCGAGGCCAATGGTGCGCATGGTGTTGGTAAGCGTTAGTATACATACGACGCAGCTTCAAGCTTATGCACATTCCGCCCGTGTGTTTGCCTTTGACGTGGCCGCGTGTTGCCTTTGCGACCGCTTTGAAGTATCTAGGGACGATCGTTGAGGTAGGCATGGGAGAGCTGCGTTTGTTATTCTGGTCTGATGTAGACATGTAGTACGAATTGCTGGGGAGAGCGCGATACAGCAAGGACCAGGCAGACGTGTGTTCGACCAGACAGGAGCGACTTGCAGTTCAGCTCAGCTGTGAGATGTTCTTTTGGGTAAAGGGGCAGGGCCTACCAGCCATCCCCACACATGTCGCTGGTATCTCGTATGTTTCTTTTCCTCCTCATTCTTCATACCATGATTACTTCGCAGTCTTGTCATTATGATTACCAGTCGTCGTATTAGTATTATTTGGTCGCGTTAGCATTATCATCCTTGCTCTCATATGTAGTAGCATTGTTAGTATTGTTGTGATGATTGCTACGTGTTGCTTAGTGATCTCATTCTTATAGTTATGATGATAACTATAAGCACCGATATTGCGGTTATTCGTATTGTTTGTATTATTGTTGTTCTTAGTCGTAGTGTTACCTTTCGTAGCGTTATTATGAATGTTCTGAATCTCCGCATCCATGCCCACCTTCCCCTCGTTCCTCCGAGCGGATCGTGGAGACGACAATGGTGACGATGCGCTGCGCGAGGTTTCTGAGACGGGACTGAAGGGACCGAGTCTCCCACTTCCGTCGTTGCACGAGGATCTCGAGTTTTCGGGGCAATCTGTCTTCATCGGGCCAGAAGTCGGGAGCTTCTAGTATTAGTCATCGTCGTTCTCCTCCGTCCCCCACTCGCTTCTCCAGAGGGCAGCAGGGGGTGGGGGCAGTTGGTCTCTCAGGCGGACTGCAGCGATGACAACGACAAGGAAACCTGCTGCACATACCGCGATTCCTGCGAGCACTTCCCAGGACGGGAGGGGACGGGGGAAGCGGCAGGGAGGAGAGGGAGGGAGGGAGGCAGGGAGGGAGGCAGGGAGGGAGGGAGGGAGGAGGGAGGGAGGAGGCGACGGTTTTGGATGCATGGATGGGGAAGAAGAGGAAGGAAGGCAGGGAGAGAGGGAGGGAGGGAGGAGGCGACGGTGTTGGATGCATGGACGGGGAAGAGAGGAGGGATTGTTTGGATTGCGACGCTGATGAGGCACATAGCCTGTCAGCAAGTTGTGGCACGCGATTGGCAGAGGCAATTCGGCACAGTCAGCTGGCTGCACCAAGGGTCGCAGTGCGAATACTCTGCACGGGCACCGAAGGTTCGAGGACGAGGGGGGGGGAGGGAGGGAGGGAGGGACGATCTGGAGGGAAGAGGAGGGAGGAGGGAGGGAGGGAGGGATCGATGGAGGGAGGAGGGAGGAAGAGGAGGGAAGGGAGGGAGGGAGGAATGGAGGGAGGGAGGGAGGGAGGAATGGAGGGAGGGAGGAGGAAGGGAGGGAGGAGGGAGGGGAGGGAGGTAGGGAGGGAGGGAGGAGGAGGGAGGAGGGAGGACGAGGGAGGGAGAGGGGGGAGGGGCGGTCAGTGCCCGCGGCGGTTCCGCACCCTGTCGCCGCCGCGGGCTGCCTCCCTCCTGGCCCAGCTGCCACGGCAGCCCGCATTGGACCGCCCGACCCTCCCTGTAGCGCTCCCCTGGCCGTGCGCTCCCCACCGCTGCCGGAGCGACGCGAAAAAGCGGGGTCCTCCTCCTCCTCCTCCTCCTCCTCCTCCTCCTCCCTCCTCCTCTACTCCTCCTCCTCCTCCTCCCCCTCCCCCTCCTCCTCCCCCTCCTCTCCTCCTCTCTCCCTCTCCTCCTTCTCCTCCTCCGCCTCCTCCTCCTCCTTCTCCTCCCTCCTCTCCCTCCCCCTCCTCCTCCTCCTCCTCCTCCTCCTCCTCCTCCTCCTCCTCCTCCTCCTCCTCCTCTCCTGCTCCTGCTCCTGCCCCTCCTCCTCCCCTCCTCCTCCTCCTCCTCCTCCTCCTCTCTTGCTCTCCTCCTCCTCTTGCTCCTTCCTCCTCCTCCTCCTCCTCCTCCTCCTCCTCCTCCTCCTCCTCCTTCTCCTCCGATGCGACGACATTCGCGCGTAAGCTGCCCGCGTAAGGTCGCGCGTAGGCGTCCTCGTCTCCAGAGTGGGGTACCGCACCGTCGGCCCGCGTAAGCCGCCGCGCGAGGTCGCTGTGCCATCTCGCGTGATGCGCCTTTCTTTTCGTCGCTCAACTGGCTGCACCGGCCCGATCTGCGGCTGTTGCAGCCCCCCGCCGCTGACTGGTCAGCTGTGCGGGCCCGTCGTCCGCGAGCTCCCGCGCGCGGCGTTGGACGTCTTTCGCTTGGCATCCAAGATGTGCGGACCAGACGCTTGCAGAATGATGATGATGATGATGATGATGATGATGATGATGATGATGATGATGATGATGATGATGATGATCATGATGATGATGACGATGACGATGACGATGATGATGATGATGATGATGATGATGATGGTGCTGATGATGGTGATGATGATGGTGATGATGATGAGGATGATGAGGATGATGAGATGATGATGATGATGATGATGATGATGATGATGATGATGATGATGATGAAGAAGATGATGATGATGATGATGATGATGATGATGATGATGATGATCGTGATGATGACGATAACGATGATGATGCAATTATGATGATGCTGATGTTGATGCTGATGCTGATGCTGATGCTGACGATGACGATGACGATGACGATGACGATGATGATGATGATGATGATGATGATGATGATGATGATGATGATGATGACGATAATGATGATGATGATGCTGATGATGATGATGATGATGATGATGATGATGATGATGATGATGATGATGATGATGATGATGATGATGATGATGATGATGATGATGATGATGATGATGATGATGATGATGATGATGATGATGATGCTGATGATGAACCTCGTTTGGGTCGTCTTGGGTCTGTCTTGGCCTCCTGTGAGGAAGTCTTGGGGGTCCCTTGGGGCCCTCTCGCTGGCTTGGGGCTCTCTTGTGCCGTCTTGCGGCCCTCTTGGCCGCATGGTGGGTGTCTGGGGGCCGTCGTGGGGCTGGTCTTCTCGCCGTCGAAGGGCCGTCAAAGGACTTTCTAAGGCCGTCTTGGGTCCCACGGGGGGCACTCTTGGGCCGTCTTGGGGCCGTCTTGACTGCCTCTTGGGCCATCGTGAAGTCCTCTTGGGCCGTCTTGAGCTGACGGCAACTCGAAACGGCGAGAGTGCGAACGAAATTCAAAAGCCAAAGGGAAAACAATGTTTTTGGCTTCTTCGAACCCTTTTGGAGGCATCTTGGGCCGTCTTGAATCAATACGCGGTCGCCTTAGGGCCATCTTCGGTCGGCTTCGAGGCATCTTGGGCCATCTTGGTGCCCTAGGTTACTTGCAGGGACCGTCTTGGCAACTCTAGACGCACATCCGTCGTTTTTTACCGAGGGATCGCGGCTTGGGAGGTCCTGGGGCGCTTGGGAGCGGCGCCTGGGAGTGCCGGGAAATGCCTGCTCCTTGAGCGGGTGCGCGTGGGATGAGGGGTCTAGGAGTTAGCAACCAGGCGGGAAGTGTACACTCCACGAGCTGGCGCGCATGGAATTCGAAGAACAACGCCATAAACATCATTTGTTGGCGCTCCGCGCGGATTTCTTGCATCCGCTCTGGGCGCCCCCCCCCCGGCGGCGTCTCCGGCGCCGCCCTTGGCGCGCTCCGCGCGCCAGGGAAGGGGGTCGGTCCAACGCAGATCCAAGAAATCCGTGCGGAGCGCCAAATGTTCATGTTTAAAGTGTTGTTTCTTCTTCTAGGAATGAGGTGTTAAGCATTAGCTATCATGTGGGAGGTGCGCCATCCTCGATCGGGCACGTGTGGACGGGGGGCTCAGGCATGAGCTGCCATGGTGGAAGGGCACCATCCTCGAGCGGGCACGTGTGGAAGGGGGGCTCAGGCATTCGCTGCCTTGTGGGACGTGCACCATCCTCGAGCGGCTCCTCAGCCCCTTCCCCATCCCGTTTTTCTTCTCCTTCTCCGCCCCCTCTCCTTCTCCCCCCCCATCCCCCTACGCCGCTTCGTTCGATCGCATTCGTTCGCAAGCTAGAGACCTCGGAATCCGAAGGCGCGGCCTGTCCCAGTGGAAAAACGTCACTGGAGACAAGGCCCCACAACATGCCGTCCATGGCAACCCTCAGAATCAGGCCCCCTCAAGAGGGGTGGGGGGACGTAGAGAAGAATTCGGATGGAGACAGGAAGGAGGCCCCCGCCAGGAGACGCGTTGGCATTGGTTCAATTCGGCTGCCGAGAGGGTCACCCCGTATGCCACGATCTGGTTCTAGCAAAGCGAAGCCATCGCGATCCTCGACTGTGCACCGCCGCTTCTGAGCAGGTACGCTCACCCTCCGAAGGGCATTTCTCGGGGGACGGTCGCCTTCCATGTCCTCTCGGTGTATTGCAGCCGCGGAAGCTGAGCGCTGATACCGTGCCCAGAAGTATCGGGTGCATGATGTGCGAGTTTTCAGCGGACACGCCAGCGGTGCCAGGGGGCCCAGGATGCGGCGGTGCCGTGCACCGCAGAAGCAGCGCTCGACCTGCATGGGATCGCCCGGGTAATTCCACGAAGGTCGAGTCTGTCAGTGCGTTTGGATGTCATGGCCAGGGCCATGATATCTCCCCAGATGTCATGGGCCCACTTCCTATTTTCCTGCGTTCCCTTGCCCCCTCCCTGGGCCGCGCACATGCCTCGGGCCACGATCTGCGAACTCCCCTCTGGGACGCCCCCCAGTCTCTCAGTGCCCGCCGAGGGTCGCGAGGGATGCCGCGGAAAGCGCTTCAGAGTTTGGCGGCGAGCGAGGGGGGGACGTGAGAAGGGGAAGGCCTTCTCAGAAGGCGGCGGGGCTTTTCAGAAGCCCTGCTGGCCTTCTGAGAGAAGTATATTGTGTCGTCGGTGAAGGCTTAGAAAGATTCGCAGAAGGCCAGGGGACTTCCGAGCCTTCTGAGAAGACCCGCATCTCCTCACTCACCCCCCAGGCTCGCTGGTGCAGAGTGCGTCGCCAGTGCGGCGCAGCCGCCCCTGCTCTCGGCCTCGCGAGGGCCCTCCTGGAGCGGCTTCCGCCGTGGTGTCTCCCCTGGCCCTCGCTCCGTGCCGCTCTGCGAGCCCTCGCTCGACTTCCCCACCCTTCGCGCCGTGCGGCTGCGGTGCCAGGGAGCTGGGGCTTGCTGCGAACCCACGGCCACAGCTGAACAAAGCAGCAGGTGCAGAGCGCGGCCCGGCAGCACACTGCTCGTGGCGGCTCCGCTGGGCCGCGCCTCTCTCCTGGTCCTCTCCTGGGTGGCCAGCAGGGCATCTGGAGAGGGCCGCGGCAGCTGTGGGAAAATCACACACTGGGAACAAAAAAACACACAGTCTGTGGACATAACACACCATCTGTTGAAAAACACACTGGGAAAACACACGCACACACATTTTTTCCACAGTGTGTGTGTGTGTGTGTGTGTGTGTTTGTGTGTGTGTGTGTGTGCGTTTGTGTGTGTATGTTGTTTGCCCAGTGCCGTGGCCCCTGGCCCTCGCTGGCGGCTCGGGCTCCCCCGCTTCGGGCCGGGGCGCCTCGCCGCTTGATGGTCGCAGCAGACAGCGCTCTGCGCGGGCCCAGCGGCAACCAGGCGCCCCAGGCCATGCGAGCAGACGGGGAGGATCGCGCCGCATCGCAGATGCACCGCCGATGCGGCTCGGTGTGGATGCCGATGCTCTCCACGCTGGCGGCGCCGATGCCTCGCTGGCGTCGCCAACGCATCGCCGGTGCGGCGCGATCCTCTGGCCCCGTCTGCTCGGAGCCCATCTGGGAGGCCTCTGAGGCCGGGCCTCACCCTGCCTCGTCCAATCTCGGAGCCTTTCGGTGCAGC